ATGTGTAGCACATTGGGATAATGTGTTGAATAAAACATGATCTTTGGCGCAAAGGCCAAGGTCCTATTTTGACAACAAAGGAGATTTTCAAAAAAGTACATTGATAAATAGTTTCTTTCTGGTCAACAATTCTGTCATTCTCGGACACCTCTGTGGAGTAGTGGCGACATATTGGGATCACTTCTCTGTTGTCTGTCCGTTTGCCACAAAACTTGTCCGTACTACTGCTCATAATCAACTGGTGAAATTTCATCCAAACTTTTCAGGAATGATCAGTACCAAGTCTAGTTGTGCATATTTTCAGCATTTTCTAGTTCAATGATTTTTGTCTGAGTTATGGCCCTTTAATAATTTTTATTTTTAAAGTTTGTACGGACTACTCCTCTTATACCACTAATGCAATATAAATGAAACTTTACTGGATTGATCTGTAGCTTAAGTCCTTGCGCATATTGCACAGGTTTTTTGATTGAATGATTTTTATCCCCCGCCGATGGAGTCGGGAGGGGGATATAGTTTTGGCGTTGACAGTCCATCCGCACTACCGAATAGGGAAATAGGGCCATCTAACTGTAAACAGAACAAAAGAGAACAATAGAGTTCATTCCGTAACAATAGAGTAAGGGGCCATCGGCCCTCTATTAAACAATAGAAAATAACAAAAGAAATAGCCCCTTATTCCATTTCCGCCGGACATTCGTCCGTCCGAATTTCGTTTCCGGAGTAGTTCTCTGCAACTACTGGCTGGAATTCAAGGAAACTTTATGGGAATCATCAATATCAAGAAGAGATGCGCATCTGTCCGTCCGTCCGTCCGAATTTCGTTTCCGGAGTAGTTCTCTGCAACTACTGGCTGGAATTCAACGAAACTTTATGGGAATCATCAATATCAAGAGGAGATGCGCATATCGTCGGCTGGTTCCGGTCCGACCCTTTAACTCAGAGTTATGGCCCTTGATTAGTTATGTAGTATGTATATAGAGTAAAAATCGTTTCCAGAGTAGTTCTCTGCAACTACTGGCTGGAATTCAACGAAACTTTATGGGAATCATCAATACCAAGAGGAGATGGGCTTATCGTCGGCTTGTTCCGGTCAGACACTTTAACTCAGAGTTATGGCCCTCAATTAGTTATGCAGTATGCATATAGAGTAAAAATCGTTTCCGTGCTACTTCTCTGCAACTACTGGCTGGAATGCAACGAAACTTTATGGGAACCTTCAATACCAAGAGGAGATGTGCATATCGTTGGCTTGTTCCAGTCAGACACTTTAACTCAGAGTTACATGTATGGCCCTTGATTTGTTATGCAATATGCATATGGAGTAAAAATTGTTTCCGGAGTAGGTCTCTGCAACTACTGGCTGGAATTCAATGAAACTTTATGGGAATCATCAATATCAAGAGGAGATGCGCATATCGTCGGCTTGTTCCGGTCAGACCCTTTAACTCAGAGTTATGGCCCTTGATTAGTTATGTAGTATGCATATAGAGTAAAAATCGTTTCAGCGCTACTTCTATGCAACTACTGGCTGGAATTCAACGAATCTTTATGAGAACCTTCAATACCAAGAGGAGATGCGCATATTGTCGGCTTGTTCCGGTCAGACTCTTTAACTCATAGTTATGGCCCTTGATTAGTTATGCAGTATCCATATAGAAAAATATTTGTTTCCTCGCTACTTCTCTGCTTCTACTGGCTGGAATTCAACGAAACTAAAATTATGGGATACTAAGAGGAGATGTGCATATAGTCACCTTGTTCCCGGTCAGATACTTATAACTCAGATTTATGGCCCTTGATTAGTTATGTAGTATGCATACATCTCATTGGCATTTCCAGATTTTACTATTTAACACAAAATTATGGCTCTGTTATTGCCCTGAATATTTATCAAGTTCAAAGAATATTACTGTTTATGCCATGATTAATATATAAATAAAGCCTTATGTCTTCAGTTGTTGTGTTAATAATAACCAGTACTCAGTGGGGGATATAAATTCAACGAATTTGCTTGTTGGCTGAGTTATGGCCCTTTTATAAAAAAAAGGAGTTTTTTTTTGTGTGTAGCCAGATACACAAAAGCTTGTATGGATAATTCTCAAAAACTACTGGTGCAATTTCATCCAAACTTTACAGGAATGATCAGTAACGAGTCTAGTTGTGTGTGTATTCAGCTTTTTATGGTTCATTGAATTTGTCAGAGTTATGGCCCTTTAATTATTTTTATTAATTAATGTTTCTCTATACTACTCCTCTTATACAACTAATGCAATTTTAATGAAACTTTACAGGATTGATTGGTATACTTGTGCATGTTACATGGGTTTTCCGCTTGAATGATTTTTATATGCCCGAAAGGGCATATTATGTTATACCCCCTGGCGTCCGTCTGTCTGTCTGTCCGTCCGTCCATTAGCAATTTGGTTTCCGGAGCATAACTTAAGTTCCATTTGGTCCACAATGTTCAAACTTCATAGGATGATTGTCCATATTGGGTAGAAGACTCCTATTGATTTTGGGGTCAAAAGGTCAAGGTCACTATTACCTTAAAACTGAAAACAGTTTCCGGAGCATAACTTAAGTTCCATTCGACCCACAATGTTCAAACTTCATAGGATGATTGTCCATATTGGGTAGAAGACCTCTATTGATTTTGGGGTCACAAGGTCAAAGGTCAAGGTCACTATTACCTTGATACTGAAAACAGTTTTCCAGAGTTCCATTTGACCCACAATGTTCAAACTTCATAGGATGATTGTCCATATTGGGAAGAAGACCCCTATTTATTTTGGGGTCACAAGGTCAAAGGTCAAGGTCATTATTACCTTTATACTGAAAACAGTTTCCGGAGCATAACTTAAGTTGCATTTGTCCCACAATGTTCAAACTTCATAGGATGATTGTCCATATTGGGTAGAAGACCCCTATTGATTTTGGGGTCAAAAGGTCAAGGTCACTATATCCTTAAAACTGAAAACAGTTTCCGGAGCATAACTTAAGTTGCATTTGGCCCACAATATTCAAACTTCATAGATGATTGTCCATATTGGGCAAAAGACCCCTATTGATTTTGGGGTCAAAGGTCAAGGTCATTATTTATAACTTAAGTTCCATTCAACCCACAATATTCAAATTTCTTAGGATGATTGTCCATATAAGGTAGAAGACTCCTATTGATTTTGGGGTCACAAGGTCAAAGGTAAAGGTCATTATTAATAACTTAAGTATATACAACCTACAGCTGTAAAATTTTATAGGATGAACAGCTTATTCCCATGTCTTACACATGCTTCATCCTTACTAAAAAAAACAACACACTTTCAGGCATATAATGCTCCGCCTAGCGGTGCTCTTGTTGACTTAGTTATGGCCCTTGAATAAAAAGGTGCTTTTTTGTGTTGCCAGCTACATAGAAGTTGCAATTTTATCAAAACTTTATGGGAATGATCAATACCATGTCTTGTTGTGCATCTCATCAACATTTTTGGTTCATTGATTTTTGTCAGAGTTTTTGCCCTTTCATGATTTTAATTTTGAAATTTGTCTGGACTACTCCACTAATGCAATTTCAGTGAAACTTTACAGGATTGATCAAAAGCTCAAATTCTTGTGTATATTACACAGTGTTTTAGGTTGGATGATTTTTTGCCGAGGTATGGCTATCATGAGGCGACACATGTTATTACTGATGGCCCTTGTTAAATAACTTGGCAGAAATGTATTGGACATGATGACTAAGTGACTTGAACATCATAGGTCTTAATCTAATATTTTTGTCTCCCAAAATTTTTGGGACACATAAAATTATTGACTTTGCCTTCGTTGTCTGTTTGTCCGTCTGTCTGGTTGTCTGTCTGTCTTTATTAAGCTTGTCCCCCCTTCATAGGTCAAACTACTGGTGGATTTCAACAGTCAGTGATCAGTACCATCCCTAGTTGTGCACATCACTGGCACGTTCTGCTTCACTGCACAAAATGGCTGCCAGAGCTTAAAATAGAAAATTCTTGTCCGGCCTTCACAGGTCAAACTACATGTACTGGTTGGATTTCAACCAAACTTTACAGGAGTGATCAATACCATCCCTAGTTGTGCACATCACCAACACGTTACGCTTTGCTGCACAAAATAGAAAAATCTTGTCTGGCTTACATAGGTCAAGCTACTGGTGGGATTTCAATGAAACTTCACATGAGTGACCATACATAGTTTTGGGAGACATGTTTTTGTGACAAAAACCCTTCAAGTTATATTTTAGTTTGTCATGATGCATTGCCTAACGGAACTCTTAAAAAATTGAATAAATGAAATGAAGCGGATAATGTTCTTTGGGTCCAAAATGGCTAGACCCAGCATATACTTTTGTTATAAGCAAAATTCAGTACGCATATTTTTGTTTCTTTGGTTTTTTTACACAAATTTTAATACATTTTTGTCATGTCTTGGCAATCACTCCACCTTACCAGCTTTCCAGTGAAAAGTGATCAACTTCTTATCACATATAACTTCTTAAAACAGTGATGTGAGAAAAATGACCATTACACACAGTGTCCAAGATGATTCTTATGGAGAAATTACATCATGCCGATGGATTATAATCCTGGATAGGATCTGACCAATGTAAAAATTGTATGATATTAGCCATTTTTATTACGCTGCTTATTGAAATGAAAAACCTGGCAAATACTTTGGGGAGAAGTATTATACAAGTGTCAGGACACAAAGATTTCAACTTGGTTAATTTTTGCCTGGAAGTTGTAATATCCTAAACTAATGAAAGGGTTGAAACTGAAACACTTGTTCACTGTGATTATCTTACATGATGGGTACAGATCCCGTAACTGTTAAGTTACCTTTTCACAGAGTTTTACCCCTTTCTTACTGTCAAACACAGAGAATAGTCGAGTGGGCTGTCTGCAGACAGCTCTAATTGATAAAATTTGTTAGAATAGAAGCTTTCAAATATTGATGGTGTCAAAAAAATTAATTTTATGTTTTAGCTGTGGCCAAAGCAAGGAAAGTGTTTGGTGATGATGGAATTAAGTTTGAACAGCAAAAAATACCACCAGAAGAAAAGGTAAAAATCATATGCTAGTGTCAACAATTTTCTGTATGTCTTGTTAGGATTATCAGACCCATTCCCAATGGCAAATATGCTTTTTAAGAAATTCTCAATTGAATTTAATTTCCAACTTAAATTTCCTGATAACCATATGAACAGATTTGCTGATGTTCTTTCTGGTTTCTATCAAACAGATGTTTCCTTACATTTTATTAGCTCGACCAATTATTTTTTTTAAAAAGTAGAGGTATTGTTAAAGTCGTGTCGGCGTTGCTGTTGCCATCCGCAAACTTGTACCTTAATCATAACTTTTTAAGTTCTTGTTGTATTGTCTTCATACTTGGCCACAACAACCCTTGGGACAAGATCTTTCGGTAGACCAGACTAACCTTGACCTTCATCAACAAATGACCTTGACCTTCAAGGTCAAATGTCCGAATTTTGCTTGTTTCTTGCTATAATAAGCTATAACTTTGTAATTTTTAAATGGATTGTCTTCAAACTTGATCATAATAATCTTTTAGAATAGCCCTTTAAGTTAATCAGACAGACCTTTACCTTCACTCATAAATGACCTTTACTTTGAAGGTCAAATTATTTAAATTTTCATTTTTAGCTAGACTATTCGCAGAATATATATTTTTTTTCTTTTTTATCAACTGAGATATATGCCTAAACCTTCCCCCCCCCCCCCCCCAAAAAAAAAAAATAAAAAAATTATATACAGTCTACTCCACTTATAACGAGATCAGTATTTAAGAGGTCAGCTTATAACGTACATTTTACTGTGTCCCGGCCTTTTTCCTTCTATTTTCCTTTCATTTTATAATTATATTGCTTAAAACGAGGTCGGTTTTAGTGAGATATCGGTTACAACGTACATATATTCGCTGCCCATGGGTATTTTGAAACTTTTTGAGAAATACACTGCGTGACGTTTGAAAACGACATTTAAAATGTAGATCTACATATTAATAAAACCCTCGCGTTGGACGTAGTATGTGTTTTAATATTTTTTGTTTAAATTCTATGATAGCTAGATATATTTATATACATGTATTTTTAAATGAAACAAAAATCTTCTGAGTGAAAAGAGTTACCTCCCATTATATAATCTTCAAAAAGGATGTACACGAATGCAAAAGTAAAAATAAATGATGCTGGACAGTGTCAGATTTCTCAATTTGTTCTGTCTCGTTTATAACGAGACCCGGTTATAACGAGGAATCATGCAAAGTCCCAATGATTTCGTTGTATCCGGAGTGCACTGTATATGTATGTATGTATATAAGATCCTTGACTGTCAGATGTCATTTATTCTTAGAAAGGATTCATACTTTTTCAAAACTTTGAGTGTGACTAGACAGACCTATAAAAATTATTAAAAGGAAAACATAACTTTTTTGCTTAAGATTTATTTAAACCATTTATTTGTTTGCTTTCAGAAAAAGTAAAATAGTAAAGAAGTAAAAAAGTCAAGCATTGCCCCCAACCCGGTGGTGGCTCTTGTTGTCAATATTACTGTATTCGTTATGCTACAGTTGATTTTTGGTTTGGTTAGAATAATAAATAGCATACAATTCAAAATACTATGCCAAAACAGGTCAAAACAGCCTGAAAGAAGGTTTCAAAAGGTACCAAATATTTTCCCAATTAAACAATTTTAACGACGCAAAATTTCACAAACTGGTCTTGGCACTTTTTCCCAAAATGGCTAGGAAAAGGTCTGATCTAGACTTAACTGATATTTCATCTTTTGAGCAATTATGCTCAGAGGGGAGTCTTTGTAATGGCAAGTTGTTCATTGTCTATTGTCTGACATTATTCATAATTTCCTTTACATCTCCTCCTAAACAACATGGTTGATTGTGACCAAGTACAGATATGTTTCACTCACCTCATTTGTTAATGTTAATATGTCTTTTTATAAACAAGGCTATCTGTCTGATTTTTGTAGACAAGTTAATCCGCACTGTGTGGAAAAATATTCTGAATTTGGCATGATTATGACCATTTAAATGACTGATGTCAGAATTTCTTTAGTATAACTATAGAAAATTTTGTACCATTCTTTCTTGAATATAAGACAAGATTATCAACTGTTTACATTGGTGCTAGAAAATCCTGTTTAACACCCCCATGTAAAACAAGTCGCGTTCTTTAAATGACGTCATTGCCGCGCCTTTTATGAATGAATTGCATTCTTAGGATGTCATCATTTTACCGTTATGAATAAAGTTGTAGGTTCATATGCTACTATAAGAAAAAAGTGCGTAATAAGAATATCAGTTTTTGTAATTTCTTTTATGAAAATAAATGATATATATAATATGCAAGAAAAAGAATCAAACACCGGCTTTCGGTACAGATGGGAATATCCAGCTCTAGGGTAACTGTTTAGCGGAAACTCAGCAGAGCCTCGTTACTGCCGTAAACAGTTACCGTCAAGCTAGATTTACCAGTCTGTACCGGCAGTCAGTGTAAGATTCTTTTAGTCTTCAAGTGAGTTCTTTGTAGCCAATGACCCCATTTTTAGCTCACCTGAACAAAAAGTGCTCAGAGCTTTTGTGATCACAATTTATCTGGCATCCAACGTCCGTCAGCCAGAGCTTACATATGGATATTTATGTGGCTAGAGTAGGTAACTTTAATTTCTCTTTGATGTTATTCATTCCCTAAGGCTTTTATGTGGCTATTTTCCTTTATGTGGCTAAAAAGAACAATTGAGAGAACAATAGAGTAGCTACATTATTACTGTCTCATTAGAACGTCCATCTGTGCATCCATTGTCAACTTTTTATACAAACAACTTCTCAGAAACAACTTTCCAGTACCGCCCATGAACAGGCTCAATCAAACCGAGCCTGCAACATTTTACAATTTTGCCATGTTGGGCTTTCTTTAGGGATTCTGTTTTTCACTATTTCAGTATAAATTATCAAGGTTAATTGAATAAAAGTTTTCTTAATAAAAAGTTAACTTTTGATTCTTGCAGCCAGGAACATCTAGTGGAAATCGACCTGCAAAAAGCAGTAAAAAAGAGAATGAAAAGGTAAAGTCTCATTACCTGTCTTTTTATGATTTAAAACATAATTTGTTTTAGCTTAACTTTTTTTTAGCTCACCTGAGCTAGCTCAGGGTGAGTTTTTAGGATCGTTGAATGTCCGTCGTCTGTCGTCCGTCCACACTTGTTTGTTAACACTCTAGCAGTCACATTTTTGCCTCAATCATTATCAAACTTTGTCAGGATGCTAATCTAGGTAATAGCTTGTATGAGTATGAACATGAGTCATCTCGAATGAAAAACTAGGTCACAGGAGCTAAAAATAGAAAAACCTTGTTAACACTCTAGTGGTCACATTTTTGACTCAATTATCATCAAACTTGGTCGGGATGCTTGTCTAGGTAATTGCTCAAATGAGTTGGAACATGGGTCATCTCGGATGAAAAACTAGGTCACAGGAGCTAAAAATAGAAAAACTTTGTTAACACTCTAGAGGGCACATTTTTGCCTCAATTGTCATCAAACTTGGTCAGGGTGCTTGTCTAGGTAATTGCTCGAATAAGTTCAAACATGGGTCATCTCGGGTGAAAAACTAGGTCACAGGAGCTAAAGATAGAAAAATCTTGTTCACACTCTAGTAGCTACTGTTTTGATCCATTTATCCTGGAAATTGGTCTGAAAGTTTGTTTTGATGATTTCTAGGTCAAGTTCAAACATGGGTCATCTCGGATGAATAACTAGGTCACAGGAGCTAAAAATAGAAAAACCTTGTTAACACCCTAGTGTTCACATTTTTTACTCAATTATCATCAAAGTTGGTCAGGATGCTTGTCTAGGTAATTGCTCAGATGAGTCCGAATATAGGTCATTTTGGATCAAAAACTAGGTCACAGGAGCTAAAAATAGAAAAATATTATTTACACTCTAGTGGCTGCAGTTTTGACAAATATTCTGGAAATTTGTCAGGAAAGTTGTTTTGATGATTTCTAGGTCAAATTCAAAATGGGTCATCTCCGGACAAAAACTAGGTCACAGCAGCTTAAAATAGAAAAATCATGTTAAAACTCTTGTGGCTGCAGTTTTAATCCAAATATTCTGGAAGTTTGTCAGGAAAAGTGTTTTGATGATTTCTAGGTCAAGTTTGAATATGGGTCATCTCCGGTGGAAACTAGGTCACAGGAGCTAAAAATAGAAAAATATTATAACACATTAGGGGCTGGAGATTTGATCCTAAAATTCAGGGAAATTGGTCAGGAAGGTTGTTTTTATGATTTCCTGGTCAAGATCGAAGATGTGTCATTTTTGATAAAAAACTAGGTCACAGGAGCTAAAAATAGAAAAAGCTTGTAAACACTCTAGTGGCTGCAGCTTTGATCCAAATTTCCTGGAAATCGGTTAGGATAGTTCAATGTTTTGATGACTTGTAGGTCTAGTTTGAATATGGGTCATTTTTCTCTAACACTCTATTGGCTGCAGTTTTGATCCAAATATTCTGGATATTTGTCAGGAAGGTGTGATAATTTCTAGGTCAAGTTCCAATATGGGTCATCTCCGGTCAAAAACTAGGTCAAAGGAGCTAAAAATAGAAAAATCTCGTTAACACTCAAGTGATTACAGTTTTGATCCAAATATCCTAAATATTGTTCAGGAAGGTTGTATTGATGATTTCTAGGTCAAGTTTGAAGATGAGTCATCTTCTGTCAAAAATTAGGTAACAGGAGCTAGAAATAGAAAAAAGCTTGTTAACAGTCTAGTGGCTGCAGTTTTGATCCAAATTTCCTGGAAACCGGTCAGGAAGGTTGTTTTGATGATTTCTAGGTCATGTTCAAATATGGGTTATCTCTAAAATTTTATTGCTTGTCTTCATTTTCCTGGAAGATATTGTTAGTGTATTGAAATATTTGTCCTCCATATTGATGCATCGGGAGGTGAAATATTGCATCGCAATATATTGATATTTATAATTTCATTTCAATGCATACATCTAGGACAGGACAGATCGCAAAGCATCAATGAATCATTTCACCTCTAGTTTGTTGCTTTAACCCATTTTAAAGAACTACTTGTATTTGCATTATATCAGTGTTGCATAGAAATTTTATTTATCTTTTTATTTTTATTCTATTTCAGAAAATGTTAACATACCATATTACTGGTCTTGCTATTAGAGGGTTTGATAAAACTTGTAAGCAGTGGAAACCGGAAAAAAATGAAGTTCTTGAGTGCAGTTGTGAGGGGGCAGTTGTTGTGATGAAAGGAAAAGTAAACTGTGGCTCTGTGCCCACAGATATACAGGAAGAGTCAAAAAGGTTTATATTGGCTGGTGGCATTATAAAAGCTGAAGTTATAGATATAAATCCAAGGTATAGAGGTAAAGGGAAAGAAATACCTTGCATATATATTTGGTCTGGTCTGAACAATCAATTGATAAAGGATGCAGCGAAGGCAGCTAAGTTAGGTATTTTAATCTTATTTATATTATGTTATTTTGAAAATGATGAAAAAAGTACAGTTATTGTGTCGCCTTGAAAAAAGGCGAATATAGGAGTTACTTTTGTTGGCAGTGTCGGCGCCCCCTTAAGTCCGGAGCATAAGTCAGTCATTATAAGTCGGATTGACTTCAAACTTGGTATGCATGCTTCTTATAATGACACAAAGTGCAGTGCACAAGAACTAGTACTCTGCACTTCTTAATTTTTGAGTTATTGCCCTGAATGTTGATTTTCATACTTTATTTAAAACCGGGCCATTTCTCCTAATGTATAAAAGCTATGGACTTGAAACTTCATAGGATGATAGATCTCATTAAGAAGAAGTGCAGTGCACAAGAACGGTAGTCTGCACTTCTTATTTTTGAGTTATTGCCCTTTGTTAATTTTCATACTTTATTTTTGTCTGGGCCATTTCTCCTAATGTATAAAAGCTATGGACTTGAAACTTCATAGGATGATATATCTCATTAAGAAGAAGTGCAGTGCACAAGAACGGTAGTCTGCACTTCTTATTTTTGAGTTATTGCCCTTTGTTAATTTTTTGCCCTTTGTTTTGGGTTTTACGTCACATCAACACAGTATAGGTCATATCGCGATGTTCCAGCTTTATTGGTGGAGGAAGACCTCAGGTGCCCTTCCGTGAATTATTTCAGGCACGAACAGGCACCTGAGTAAAACCACCGACAATCCGTAAGCTAGCTGGAAAGCTTCCTCACATGAAAGAATCGAAAGTCCCTGTCGGGATTGGAACCCACAGCAGTGAGGGGCAAGTGGTTTGAAGTTAACAACCTTAACCACTCAGCCACGGACACGTTGTGACAGGTAGTGCACCTTATAGCTATAAGAGTAAAAGTTTGTTTGTACCAGGGAAAAAGCTTGTAAAAACCCTCATTTAACGAGTTACGGTTAACATCTGTTATCAAACTTCATAGGAATGATCCTTTAAATCTAAGGTCACCTTCTACTAAAGTTATTTAAATAGTTCCAGTCTGATGCACAAGTAGGTTACAGGAGTTATAAAATAAGTCTATAAAATGTGCATTTCAAATACATGTACCATACATGGATGGCAAGATATTTACAGTTGTAATAGAGTACCAGAAATTCAGAATAACCAGTATAAAACAAAATTTATTGTTTATAACAAATTATTATATCATTTAATATGTTATCATAATGCAAAAAATTACAATGTTTTATTGCATTTATCCAACATTCTGTAATAGATCACTCACTAGAAAGTTTAGATCAATGTAGATTCTATAAACTTAATACAATTTCTACAATGCCCCGCAGTGAGTCATACAAATTTGACAGGAACAATCTAGAACAAGTTAATGATTAATTCTAAAAATAGCAATCAAAATATAAACTACCTGTAAACATGTATAAGTCAACATTTTTGCAACATCCATCCATGCTTCCTTCCTGCCATCCACACTTTTAGTTTGATTTGAATAATGTGTAGCACATTGGGATAATGTGTTGAAGAAACAACATGATCTGTGGTGCAAAGGTCAAGGTCACATTTTGACCACAAAGGAGATTTTTCAAAAAAGTACATTGATAAATAGTTTCTTTAATTTGTGGTCAACAATTCTGTTATTTTTGGACACCTCTATGGAGTAGTGGCGACATATTGGGATCACTTCTCCATCGTCTGTCTGTCCGTTTGTCACAAAACTTGTCCTGACGACTCCTCATAAACTACTGGTGCAATTTCATCCAAACTTTTCAGGAATGATCAGTACTAAGTCTAGTTGTGCATATTGTCAGCGTTTTGTGCTTCAATGATTTTTGTCCAAGTTATAGGCCTTTAATAATTTTTATGCTCCCCGAAAAATTTAGGGGTAGCATATAGTCGGCGCCTTGTCCGTCCATCCGTCTGTCCGTCCGTTGTCTTGTCCTGAGCATAACTTGAAAACCCTTGGAGATAATTTGTTGAAACTTTATACAGTGGTAGAGGGCATTGAGGGGGAGTGCAGTGTCAAAGAACCATAACTCTTTTTTGCCCGGTTTTTGAATTATCTCCCCTTATTGAAAAATCTTGTCCGGGGCATAACTCTAAAACTATAAGAGATATCAACATGAAACTTTGTAGGTGAATAGATCTCAATGGGTAGATGTGCAGTGCATAAGAACAATAACTATTTTTGTCCTAATTTTGGAGTTATTGCCCTTTGTTAATTTTAACACTTTAAACTTTGTCCGGAACATAACTCTAAAAGTATAAGAGATATCAAGATGAAACTTTGTAGGTGAATAGATCTCAATGGGTAGATGTGCAGTGCATAAGAACAATAATTCTTTTTGTCCTAATTTTGGAGTTATTGCCCTTTGTTAATTTTAACACTTAGAACTTTGTCTGGAACATAACTCTAAAACTATAAGAGATATCAAGATGAAACATTGTAGGTAGATAGATCTCATTGAGTAGAGGTGCAGTTCAAATGAACCATAACTCTTTTAAGCCTCATTTTTGAATTATCTCCCCTTTTAGAAAAATCTTATCCAGGACATAGCTGTTAAACTATAAGAGATATCAACATGAAACTTTGTAGGTAGATATATCTCAATGGGTAGATGTGCAGTGCACAAGAATCATAACTCTGCTTAGCCTAATTCTGGAGTTATTGCCCTTTGTTTATTTTTACTTTTTGAAGTTGTCCGGGACATAACTCGGAAATCATAAGAGATATCATCAAGAAACTTTGTAGGTTGATAAATGACATTGATTAGAAGTGCAGTGCAAAGAGCAGTAACTTTGCCTTGCCGAATTTTGGGATTATTGCACTTTGAACTTTTTCCAGGGACATAACTCTGAAACTACAAGAGGTGTACTTTCCTGTGTCCAAAACCTATTCGGGGAGCTCATCCGGCTTAAACCGGGCTCTTGTTATTTTTAAAGTTTGTCCGGACTACTCCTCTTATACCACTAATGCAATTTCAATGAAACTTTACCGGATTGATCTGTAGCTTAAGTCCTTGTGCATATTGCACAGGTTTTTAGGTTGAATGATTTTTGGCTGAGTTATGGCCCTTTTATAAAGAGGTGTGTTTTTTTTGTGTGTAGCCAGATACACAAAAGCTTGTATGGATAATTTCCAAAAACTACTGGTGCAATTTCATCCAAACTTTACAGGAATGATCAGTAATGAGTCTAGTTGTGCATATATTCGACTTTTTGTGGTTCAATGCATTTTGTCAGAGTTATGGCTATGGAACGCCATAGCTGCCTCATGTTTTTACATTTCTTTTTATCTTGCCCAGAAAGCATCTTATTATGTCAAATATAAGCGTTGTAATGCCATTGTAATTTGTCGACTTGTCTAAACATTGCCTTATTATGCGTAGCAGTAGTCTTATCTCTTTAAAATGTGATGTTGACTTGTGTTAACATTGTTTGATTTTTTCAAACAGTAGTGTTATCATGTCAAGATGTCGTTTTGGTGTGTCTGAAATGTGTCCTATTATGTCAACTTGTCGCGCTATTTGGTCAAATTGTTGAGCTGTTTTGACAAAAGACAGTCTGATCATTTGAAACAGTAGTGTTCTCTTGTCGTAATTTGGTGTTGCCTTGTAAAAGCACAGCTTTATTTTATCAAACTGCCATGAAATTTTGTCAAAATACGGTGTTTAAATGCCTTAACATCGTCTTATTGTGTCAAACAACTGTGTTAATTTGCCAACGTACACTACTGAGTTGTCTTTTTATATCAAATATTCGAATTATCTTGCCAAAATGGAGTGTTGACTGGGCTAAATCATGCCTTATTATGATAAACTGTATGCTATTTTAACAAAAAGCGGTTTTGACTTGTCTTATAAAGTCAAAAAATTGCGGTATCTTGTCGAAATGTGGTTACAAGACGTGTCTAAACTCTTTCTTATAATGTAAAACAGAAGTGTTATATTGTCGAATTTTGATGTTTTCTTGTAAAACACAGATTCTGAAATAGTCTTTAATTGCATGTATTGTGTTTGATAATTGTCTCAATTTGTTCAAATTTAGTTCTGTCTTGAGAAAGCGCTGTCTGATTTTGCGAAACTGCCCCGTTATCTTTTTTGCTCTATCTTTTTACGCTCCGCGCGGGCTCTGGTCACGTGATACTAAATTTTGACAACATCCCATCTGGACAGGATAACACGATTATCTGACATAATGAGACGGTATTTAGACATGTTAACGTCATAAACTGGCAAGTTAACGCCACTGTACTACATAATGATACTGTGTTTCAAAAAGTAAACACCACATTTGAAAAGGAAAAATGATACTTCGCCATAAAAGGGCGATGTTTATTAAAATTAACACCGAACCTTGAAAAAATAAAATGACATTTTGTCTAAAAGACAGTAATTTTAGACAAATCATCACCACGTTTTGACAAGATGACATGACTATTTGACATAATAAGACAAATATAGACAAGTTGAATCTGCATTTGGACAAAATAGCATGAAAGTTTGACAAATTAAAATTGCCTTTTAACAGTTCATAACCATAATTTGTAAAGATACCACCATTATTTCACATAATGAGACGGTGTTTAGGCCGGTTAACATAAAGTTTGGATAAAATTGCATGGCGATCTGAGAAAATAAGGCAGTGTAAAAAAATTAGACATGTCAAATTACCATCTTTCGACGAGTCAACAGTACTGTTTGACATAATAAAATAACGTTTACACAAACAAACACAATTTATTGGCAAGTCAACGATAGTATTTCACATAATAAGTATATTTTTAGACAGGATAACAACAGTTTTAGACAAGAAAGCAAAGATGTTTTTGCAAAATAAGACAGAATAACACCACCATATACTAAGCAACATAACAGTTTGACAAAACAGGACAGCGCTCAGCCAGGTCAATATAATGGTTGAACAAGATATCACTACTAGCTGACATAATAAGACATGAGTTTGACAAGTTGACACAAAGTTCCGACAAGATAACACTACTGTTTCACATTATTAAAAATAAGACAATTTCTAGACAAATTACCACCACAGTTTGACAAGACAGCATGCTATTTTGACATAAAAGGCATTCTCTTAGCAAGATAACACCGAATTTGAACACAATGACATGGCAGTCTGACAAAATGTGACGATGTTTAGACAAGTCAATACCACATTTGGACAAGACAAAACAACAGTATAACATAATACAACAGTGTCATAACATACCAGGATCACATTTGGACAAGATGACACCAACTTCCGACAAGATAACACTACTGTTTCACATGATAAGACAATTTCAAGACAATTCAACACCACATTTAAACAAGTCTGTGCTCAGACATATTGAAATCTCAATTCGAAAAGATGGCCTGCATGTTAGACATATTAAGACTTCCATTCGGCATGTTAACACCGGATTTGCATATGATAACATGACTTTTTGAAATAATAAGACAGTGTTAAGACAAGTCAGCACTACGTTTTGACAAGAGAAAATGAATAATTGACCTAATAAGACTTCGTTAAGACAGGTTCTCATAAAACGTTGACAAGCCAACACTTCTATTATACATAATAAGTCGCTTTTAGGGAAAAATAAAACGAAATGTAACAACATGAGGCAGCTATGGCGTTCCATAGGCCTTTAATTATTTTTTATTAATTAAAGTTTGTCTATACTACTCCTCTTATACCACTTATGCAATTTTAATGAAACTTTACAGGATTGATTGGTATACTTGCGCATATTACACAGGTTTTCCACTTGAATTATTTTTGACTGAGTTATGGCCCTTGAATAAAAAAGGGCTTTTTTGTGTTGCCAGCTACATAGAAGTTGCAATTTCATCAGAACTTTATTGGAATGATCAATACCATGTCTAGTTGTGCATCTCATCAACATTTTTCGGTTCATTGATTTTTGTCAGAGTTTTTGCCCTTTCATGATTTTAATTTTGAAATTTGACTACTCTTGTTATACCACTAATGCAATTTCAATGAAACTTTACAGAATTGATCAAAAGCTCAAATTCTTGTGTATATTACATAGGATTTTAGGTTGAATGATTTCTTGCCGAGGTATGGCTATCATGAGGCGACATATGTCATCACTGATGGCTCTTGTTAAATAACTCGGCAGAAAAGTATATGAATCACTAAGTGACTTGAACATCATAAGTCTTAATCTAATAATTTTGTCTCCCAAATTTTTTGGGACACATAAAATTATTGTTTTTGCCTTCCCTGTCTGGTTGTCTGTGCGTCTGTATTAAGCTTGTCACCCCTTCACAGGTCAAACTACTGGTGGGATTTCAACTAAACTTTACAGGAGTGATCAGTACCATCCCTAGTTGTGCACATCACCGGCATGTTCCGCTTCACTGCACAAAATGGCCGCCAGAGCTTAAAATAGAAAAAATTAGAATATTCTTGTCCGGCCTTCACAGGTTAAACTACTGGTTGGATTTCAACCAAACTTTACAGGAGTGATCAATACCATCCCTAGTTGTGCACATCACCAACACGTTACGCTTTGCTGCACAAAATAGAAAAATCTTGTCTGGCTTACATAGGTCAAGCTACTGGTGGGATTTCAATGAAACTTCACATGAGTGACCATACATAGTTTTGGGAGACATGTTTTTGTGACAAAAACCCTTCTAGTTATATTTTGATTTGTCATGATGCACTGCCTAACAGAACTCTTAAAAAATTGTATGAATAAAATGAAGCGTATAATGTTCTTTGGGTCCAAAATGGCTAGACCCAGCAAATACTTTTGTTATAAGCAAAATTCAGTATGCATATTTTTGTTTCTTTGGTTTTTTTACACAAATTTTAATACATTTTTTTCATGTCTTTGCAATCACTCCACCTTACCAGCTTTCCTGGATAACTGACCAGTGAAAAGTGATCATCTTCTTATCACATTTAATTTCTAAAAACAGTGATGTGAGAAAAATGACCATTACACACAATGTCCAATATGATTCTTATGGAGAAATTACGTCTTGCCGATGGATTATAATCCTGGGTGGGATCTGACCAATGTAAAAATTGTATGATATCAGCCATTTTTCTTACGCTGCTAATTGAAGTGAAGTGAAAAACCTGGCAAATACTTTGGAGAGAAGTATTACACAAGTGTCAGGACACAAAGATTTCAACTTGGTTAATTTTTGCCTGGAAGTTGTAATATCCTAAACTAATGAAAGGGTTGAAACTGAAACACTTGTTCACTGTGATTATCTTACATGATGGGTACAGATCCCGTAACTGTTAAGTTACCTTTTCACAGAGTTTTACCCCTTTCTCACTGTCAAACACAGAGAATAGTCGAGTGGGCTGTCTTGCAGACAGCTCTAATTGATAAAATTTGTAAGAATAGAAGTTTTCAAATATTGATGGTATCAAAAAATTAATTTTATGTTTTAGCTGTGACCAAAGCAAGGAAAGTGTTTGGTGATGATGGAATTAAGTTTGAACAGCAAAAAATACCACAAGAAGTAAAGGTAAAAATCATTTGCTAGTGTCAACAATTTTCTGTATGTCTTGTTAACATTTACATGTCTACAGGCCTTTTCAAAGTGTCACCCACTGGTCAGTTTTATCAGACCGATTCCCTAATGACAAATATGCTTATTTTTTTCCACTCCTTGATGATGATTCATTCCAGGATTCTATCGATGTTTCCTCACATATTGTTGTTTCAAATATTATCATTGTATTTGGTTACATTCCAAGTTGGTTTGGGTAATTGTAAAGAATAAAACAATATCATAAAATTTCTAAATGCTATGTCAAAAGACCCTGAAAAGGGAATTTTAAAAATGGTACCAATATTTTCCCCAAAAAATTAAAAAACAATGTGCATATCGTCAGCATTTTTCCCAGTTCAATGAGTTTTTTGTCCCGAGTTATGGGCCTTTTAATAATTTTTTAATTTTTTAAAGTTTGTCAGGACTACCTCCTCTAATACCGTTTAATGAAATTGCAATTAATCTTTACAGGAATTGATAAGTAGGTCAAAGTTCTTGTGCACAATACACAAGTTTTTCGCTTAAATGATTTTCAGCTGAGTTATTGCCCTTGAATAAAAATGTGTTTTGCCCTGTTAATGATTTTTGGGTCTCCTGCTACACAGTAGCTGCAACATTTGATTGGCTATCATGAGACAACACATGTCATCACTGATGGCTCTTGTCAATGATTGTTTAAACTGAACATCTAGCCAAAACATGACTGATAATGATACAAGGTGACCTGCAAAAAGCAGTAAGAAACAGAAGGAAAGGGTTAAGTTTCACAACCTTCTTTGACAAAGAAGTCCAAATTTGAAGATGTTAATTGGGTATTTGAAGCTTTTTTTACTTGAAAAATGTTATTTTTTACTATAACTTTTTTAGTTTTAAAGGTATCTACCTCAAACTTCAAATGACTTTTTTCCCTTATTTTCAAAAAAACATTTAAATGTGAAAAGGGTTCATAACTCTTGAACCCAATTTATTTACAGTTTTTTCTCTTTTTTAAAACTTAGGTTTTCTTTAAAAAAAATAAAAAACTTTTTTATTTTTTTAAGGTTTCAAAACTTTAAACTTCAAATATATTTCTTATCTTTTAACAAAATTTGTTGAAATTGAAAAGGTTCAAAAAAATCTAAAATAAAACTTTTTAAAAATTTTTCCCCCTTAAATTTTGGGGGAAATTTAGTTAACAAAAAATTTTGGTTTTACTATAAATTTAAATACAAAATTTAATACAAAATTTGTTTTTTCTTTAAATAGTTTTTTTCCTTAACGGGCGTCCAGTATTTTATTAGTCGAGTTTCGCTGTCTCCTGTGACATATGTTATGCCCCCGGGCATATAGTAATTGAACCATCCGTCCGTCCTTCTGTCAGTATGAGGACAACCTAAAACGGCAAGTAAGAACTACCTATACCAATGGCTACATACTTTACACACTTACTTATCAATACAATGCAAATGATATGGGCAAGTTACGTAACAGTGGCTTCAATTTTTACCAAGTTATTGCCCTTTTCAGCACTTAAAAATGAATAATTGGTTAACCTAAATGGGCAAGTTGGATATATCTTAAGTTCTATCTATACTAATAGCTTCATAATTACCACACTTACTAATCAATCCAAAGTTCATGTTATTGCCAAGTTATATAACTGTGCCATAAAATTTTTCCCAGTTATTTCCCTTTTTATCACTTTAAAAATAGGCCCTTGTATGGTTACCCTATTCCGGCAAGTTGGAATTATCTTAAATTTCTCCTAATTACTTCATTATACCCCCACCACAAAATGTGGGGGGCTATAATGGATTCGCTTTGTCGCGTCGGTCGGTCGGTCTGTCGGTCCGTCTCCATTTTCGCGTCCGCTATATAACTCCTATACCAATTGAAGGATTTTTCTTCAAACTTGGCTCAAATGTTCACCTCAACAAGGGGATGTGCAGAACCAATATTGCCCATGTGTCAGCTCAAGGTCAAGGTCACAATTGAAGGTCAAATATCAAACACTATCAAATATTACACAGTATGTCGTGTCTGCTCTGTAAGTCCTTCACTACTTGAAAGATTTTCTTCAAACTTGGCTCAAATGTTCATCTCAACCAGGGGATGTGCAGAACCTATGTCGCCTATGTGTCACGTCAAGGTCACAATTGAAGGTCAAATATCAAACAATTAAATATTACACAGTATGAAGTGTCCGCTCTGTAAGTCCTACACTACTTGAAAGATTTTTTCAAACTTGGCTCAGATGTTCACCTTAATAAGGGGATGTGCAGAACCCATGTTGCCCATGTGCCAGCTCAAGGTCAAGGTCACAATTGAAGGTCAAATACCAAACAATCAAATATTACACAGTATGTTGTGTCCGCTCTGTTAGTCCTACACTAATTGAAAGATTTCTTCAAACTTGGCTCAAATATTCACCTCAACAAGGGGATGTGCAGAACCCATGTTGCCCATGTGTCAGCTCAAGGTCAAGGTCACAATTGAAGGTCAAATATCAAACACTATCAAATATTACACAGTATGTCGTGTCTGCTCTGTAAGTCCTACACTACTTGAAAGATTTTCTTCAAACTTGGCTCAAATGTTCACCTCAACCAGGGGATGTGCAGAACCCATGTCGCCCATGTGTCAGCTCAAGGTCAAGGTCACAATTGAAGGTCAAATATCAAACAATTAGATATTACACAGTATGTTGTGTCCGCTCTGTAAGTCCTACACTACTTGAAAGATTTTCTTCAAACTTGGCTCAAATGTTCACCTCAACAAGGGGATGTGCAGAACCCATGTTGCCCATGTGCCAGGTCAAGGTCACAATTGAAGGTCAAATGTCGAACAATCAAATATTACACAGTATGTTGTGTCCGCATCGTAAGTCCTACACTAATTGAAAGATTTTCTTCAAACTTGACTCAAATATTCACCTCAACAAGGGGATGTGCAGAATCCATGTTGCCCATGTGTCAGCTCAAGGTCAAGGTCGCAATTGAAGGTCAAATATCAAACAATCTAATATTACACAGTATGTCATGTCCCCTCTGTAAGTCCTACACTAATTGAAAGATTTTCTTCAATCTTGGCTCAAATGTTCATCTCAACCAGGGGATGTGCAGAACTTATGTCACTCTTTTGCTGGCTTAAGGTCAATGTCACTCTTGAAGGTCAAAAATTGACTTAGAAAATATTCTTAAATTTTAACATTTATTTGAATATTTCTAAATCTAGAAAAGATATTTGCTTGAAACTTAAAATATTTTTGAAGGGTCACAATTCCGATATGCTGTTCGTTCAAGTTTCATAACTCTGTATTGCATTTAAACAAAGTTATGCCCCTTTTTAAGTCTTCAAATTTACATACAATCAAATATTAAACAATATGTTGTGTCCGCTCTATAAATCCTATACTAATGGAAGAATTTTCTTCAAACTTTACTCAAATTTTCACCTCAACAAGGTTATGTGCAGAATCCATGTCACCTTTGAGCCGGCTAAAGGTCAAGGTCACACTTGAAAGTCAAAAATTGACTTAGAAAATGTTCTTAAATTTTAACATGTACTTGAATAATTCTGAAACTAGCGCATGCATTTGCTTGAAACTTAAAAGATGTATGAGGTGTGGCAAATAAGATATGCAGGTCAAGTTTCATTACTCTGTATTGCATTTTGACAAAGTTATGCCCCTTTTTAAGTCTTCAAATTTACATACAACCAATACTAGACAATATATTGTGTCTACTCTATAAATTCTATACTAATGGAAGGATTTTCTTCAAACTTTACTCAAATGTTCAACTAAACTGGGTGATGTGTAAAACCCATCTTACCCTTGTGCCAGATTATGGTCAAGGCCACACTTATAGGTCAAAAATTGACTTATAAATAAAATGTTTAATACATTGGGAAAATGAAAGGTTATTTGTAACTGTTTCAAACATGATTTTTTGATAAGATATATTTATACTATTACCTGTACAATTAGTCTTTTTTTCACCAGAGATAATTTCTTTTTATGTATTTGTGCCACATAAGTTATTCCCTTAACCACATTTTAAAGTGGTCTTCTGTCAAGGACATTGGTGGGGGTATGAATCGCATTCAGCGATAGTTCTAGGTTTTTATGGCCCCCTTCAAAGAAGAAGAGATATATTGTTTAGCTAATGTCGGTCGGTCAGTCCATCTGTAGACCACATGGTTTCCGCTGATTATCTTGAAAACTATATATCACTAAGTCTTCATATTTCACATACTGATTGGTCATAACTAGTAGATGATCCCTTTTGAATTTGAAGTTGCTAGGTCAAAGGTCAAGGTCACAGAGGCCTTAAATGTCAGAATGGTTTCCAATGATTATCTTGTAAAGTATTCATCACAAAGTCTTCATGTTTCACATACTGATCATTGCTGGTAGATGACCACTTTTGACTTTTGGGGTTACTAGGTCAAAGGTCAAGGTTACAGGGACCTTTAATGTCAGAATGGTTTCTGTTGATTATATTGAAAACTATTCATCACAAAGTCTTCATATTTCACATACTGATAGGTCATAATGTGAAGATAACCCCAAATGATTTTCGGGTCAGGAGGTTTAAGGTCAAGGTCACAGGGGAGCTTTAAATGTCCGAAAAGGTTTCTGCTTTATTATCTTGGAAAATTATCACAAAATCTTCAATGCTTTCACAAACGGATTGGGCCATAACTATAGAATGAAAACCACTTTTGGACTTTTTGGGGTTACTAAAGTCAAGGTTTCAGGGGGCCTTTAAAAGTCAGAAGGTTTTTTGGATTTAAAATTGAAAAAATTTATCACAAAAGGGCTTTAATTTCAAAATATAAAAGGGAAAAGTGAAATGACCCTAAAGAATTTTTGGGTCAGGAGATTTAAAAGGGCAAGGGCAAAAGCTTTTCCCTTAATGTTAAAAAATGGTTTTTGGGTGATTATCTTTAAAAAATATTAATTCCCCAAAAGTTTTCCCTATTTCATCACT